GGCCAGGTGTAGTGGCGCACACCTGTAATCCCAGCAGCTGGGGAGGCTGAGGCAGGAGGATCACGAGTTCAAAGTCAGCCTCAGCAATGATGAGGTGCTAAGCAACTCAGCAAGACCCTGTCTCTAAATAAAATATAAAATAGGGCTGGGGATGTGGTTCAGTGGTTGAGTGACCCTGAGTTCAATCCCTGGGGCCCCCTACCCCCCAAAAAAGAGTATGGGGCCGGTGAGCAGCTCAGTGGTGGAACATTCACGTAGCATGTGCAAGGCCCTCGTAGCACTGAAAAAAAGAAAAGAAGGAAATTCATGAATAAATCAGTTCATATGTTTGTGAAACCATCACCACCCACTATTCCCAAATTGAGACTGTCCAGTAAACACCAACCCTCCATTCTCACTTCCTAGTTCCTGGTGCCCATGATTATAACCCTCTGTCTTTATGGATTTCTCTAGGAACCTTAAATAAATGAAATTCTAAGCAGTGTTTTTGAGTCTTTTTCAAACTTTTTTTTTTTTTGGTAGTGGAAATGAAACCCAGCACCCCACGCACGCTAGGCAAGCGCTCGACCACCAGGCTGCACTGCAAGCCTCTTGCAAATTCTTATTTTGATATAGATTCACGATGAGTTGCAAAGACAGTCGAGAGTTCTGTATATTCTTTACCCAGCTTCTGCTATGCTAATATCATGTATTATCATTATACACTTGTCAAAATGAAGAAATTAATATTGGTATTAATCCACCATTGGTTAAACTGCAGGCCTCATTTGGATTTTACCAGTGTTCCCACCGGTGCCCCTTCTCTGCTTGCTCCATCATCCCACCCGGCATCCCACACTGCCTGTGGGCGGCGTCCGAGTTCGCCAGGGCTGCTGTGACAAATGCAGCTTCAGCCAGAGAAGCTTAGTCGCTCACAGTTTTGGAGGCCAAAAGCCCAGGACCAATATGAGCAGATGTTATAATTTGGATCCAAAATGTCCCCCAAAGACTGGTGTGTCTCCAGCTTGGTCCTCCTGGGAGGTGGTGGAAACTTTAAGGGGTGGGACCCAGCGAGAGGTCTTCAGATCACTGTGTGGATACCCTCGGAAGGGATGTGGGGCCTCATTCCCTTCTTTCTTTCTCGTGTCCCAGCTCTGAGGCGAGCAGTCTGGCCATGGCTGCTACCATGACGTGCTGCCTCACCACAGGCCGTAGGGATGGGGCCAATTGATCAAGGACTGAAGCCTCCAAAACTGTGAGCTGAAACAAACCTTTCCTCTTTGGACATGGATTTCTCTCAGTTATGTGTTACAGTAACAGAAAGCTAGCTAGCACAGCATGGTTGGTTCCTTCTGGGCTACAAGGGGAAGGGTCTCTTGTTTGTGTCTCTCCTTGGCTTGTAGATGCCACCTTCTCTCTGACATATCTTTCATGAAGTGGAAAGTTTTGAAGAGTAACAATCAGGCATTGCTTTGACACTTTATTGTCCTTGTAAAGACCTCATTGCCAAGTATGGTCACATTCTGAGGTACTAAGAGGTTAGGACGTCAACCCATGATTTTTTTTTTTTTTTTTTGCAGTTGAACCCAGGGAGCTCTACCACTGAATAACATTCTAAGCCCTATTTGAATTTTGAGATAAAGTCTTGCTAAGTTCCCCAGGTGGGTCTCAAACTTGTGATCCTGCTGCTTCAGCCTCCAGAGTTTCTGGGATTCCAAGTGTGAACCACCATGCCCAGCAACATAGGCATTGGGTTGGAGGCACTGTTCAGCCCATAACAATCACTTTGTCTTCTTGATCGCCTCCAGACTGTGACAGGTTCCTGCTGCTGTGATTTAGTGATTGGTTTGAGTGTGTCCCCTGAAGTTCATTGGTGGGAAGCTTGGTCTCATCTTTGTGATGTAGTGTGAGACGTGATGGGACCTTTAAGGGGTGGGGCTTAATGGGAGGTGGTTAGGTTTGGGGGCATCATTTTTTGCAAAGGATTAATGCCAATATCATGAAGTGAGATAGTTCTCTGGAAAGTGAATTTTTATCAAAAGAGGAAGCCTGATTAAGTATTATAATGCAAAAAAGAAAGTACATGTAGAAAGGCATAAATTGGCGTGACCAAACTTTATATATGGAGATATGAAAAATTGTACTCTATATATGTAATAAGATTGTAATGAATTCCACTGCTGTTGTGTATCTTTAAAAATAATAAAATCATTAAAAGATAAAAAATAAATAAAAACAAAAAGAGAGAAAGTCTGGCCCTTCCGTATTCTCTGGTTTCCTGTCTCATACATGATCTCCTTTTCTGCTTTCTCCACGACGCCATCTGCCATGTTGTATCACAGCCAAGAGGGTCCTGGACAAGAAGCTGAACTGATGGGGTTGCGTGGCCTTGGACTGTCAGCCCCCAAATTGAGCTAAACAAACTGTTTTTCTTCATGAAGTTCCCAACCTCAGCTATTTTATTATAGGAACAGAAAATGGATGGATATACCTGTCTTCTTCTCTTGTCTTTCATGAAGTGGAAAGTTTTGAAGAGTAACAATCAGGCATTTTGCATTGAATGGTCTTTGATTTGAACTTTCATGATTAGATTGAGGATATGGGTTTAGGGGGGAATGTACCACAAAGGTAATGTGCCCTTCTTTCACACGATATTGGTGGGTCCAGTAGGGAAATACATGATGTCCACATGATCATGACTTGTCACTGGTGATCTTAGTTAAGGTGGTAAATGCCAGGTTTCTCCATAATAGAGTCTCTATTCACCCCCACACACCTGTTCCATGCTGTTTGATGCATCTTCAATGGTACTGATATTGTTCCTGAAGGAGAAAATCTGGTTCTTTGGAGGATAAATATAGAAAGATATATATGTCTACAGGTATCTATCCATACCTGTAGCTATCAGATATCACCGTGACTTGGGGACCTACAAAACTTGTCCTTCTCCAACAAAACCAAAATCTTTGATATTTTATTTAGAGCAACAATTAAGGAAAATGTCTCTAAAAGCCATTTGATGCTGCTCTCTTCCTTGAAAGTGAGTCACCATGTCCAGCTGCCCTCACAGGGAGAACTGATTTCCAAGAAGGAGTAGATGTGTGAACATGTGTTAAGACCACAGTGGTCGTTAATAAGCATTGAGGGAAACGAGTTCACTGAGGTGGTGCAAATGTCCTGTTTCTTGTAACATTCTCCCCCATTAATTAGAACATCTGTCTCGAGATCTTTCTACAGCAATTATTGATGAGATATCCTAAGGATAATCCCACATTTCCTTTCTTCTTTATTTCATTTATTAATTGAAATCATTCTGTAAGAAAGAACAGATTTTCAAAAATGGACTTTAGTATTTAGATTCACAGCAAAAGTACAGATTTACAGCGAAATTACGTAGAGGGTGGGGGGATTTCCCATTCACTTCCCACCCCCACAAAAGCACAGCCTCCTCCATTGTCAAAGCCCCCACCAGGCCTAGATTCTTTTGCAGCAGGTGGAACAATGTGCACATGTTATTGCCACTCAAAGTCCGAAGTTTGCATTTGGGCTCACTTGTGCTGTGTGTTTTATAGGTTTGGACAATCCTGTAGGGGACGTCTCCACCAGAGCAGTATCACAGAGAAGATTCAGAGTCCCAACAATTCCCTGTGCTCCATTTATTCACAAACAGATTTTCAAAGTTCTATAGAGTATTGCAGGTAGAGTTTGAAGCCAACGTGGCAAGTGGATTATGTGGAATATCATAAAGAACAGGGAGAAGACCTTTTGAGATCAGAACATGGGGAAGGAGGGCACTGAGTTTTTCACTGGAGAGATTGACATGTTTTGGTCCCACGGGCACGGATGGCTTACTCAAAAGATCAATTAAAACCTAAAGAGCTATAGTCATTTAAAGATCATCTAAAAGAGAAATCGCACAAGAGAAGAAAAAAAGTATTTCAATAGAGAAGAAGCACGTCGGGCAGATACCAAGACGTATTGTAGACTTGGTCCAGGTTTCTCCAGAAACAGAGCCTGAGCCAAGTATTTGGATATCCACAGTTTAGCTGGGAGGTGATTCCAAGAGAAGCAGTAGAGGAGGGGGAAGAAAAGAGGGGAAGGAAGGAGGGGAACAGACACAGGGGAGGTTGACAGGCATATGACTGACGTGGGCAGCTGGGACTCAGCCCCTTGTGCCTCTGGGAGGTGTATGGAGAGAGCCTCTGAGTTAGCCCCACTGTTGAAGGTCGATTTACTGAGATAGGATTCAGCCTTCGAGTTATTTATGAAGGGACATCCTTGCGGTCAGTCCCAGCAGGAGGAAGGGGAAGTCTATGGAGTTACTTTTACACCAAGTCGTTTTCCACTTCTCACTACAGCTTCCTGGAGCTGGATTACACAAGTTAGAAATCTCAGTTCCACAAGACGAGCCCAGATGTCTTCTGCAAGAGGGGTGCCTAGGGGAGCCACGCTTCAGCCAGGCCAACCATGAATCGGGCTCCCAGAACCCACTCCCAGTTTTCCAGATGGCTCACAGAAAAATACATGCTTGCATTCACTGGGTTGTTATAAAGAACACAACTCAGCCAGATGGAAGAGATGCCCGGATGGAAGGAAAGCGTGCAGAGGTGGGACGTTCTCTCCTAGTGGGCAGCACCTCGGACCCTCTCCTGCTCACCAGCCTGATACTCACCAAACCCCACCGTTACCAGACTTTTCATACAGCTCAATCTCTGCCCCTGCTTGGGGGACTCTGGCACTCTGGGCCACTATACACCTCCCCAGGGCTAAGTACCAGGCACCTCCAGCCCAGAGCCCACTGAAAAGACTCAAGCTAGCCATGCTTACGCGAGCTTCTTAAACTCTGCCTCATTTAATTGGTGCATGGGGCTGGAAGTTCCAACCCTCTAAAATCCTCCGATTTCCCTGGTGACCCCTCCCATGTGGAGGCATCCAAGTCCTACCATCAAACACCTCATTAGCCTGAATTCAAGTGGGTGCCCAGAGGCTCACTAGGAATTTTAAAAAGCCAACCCTGCCACTCAGGATCAAAAAGATATTTTTATTATGCCATTGGAAGGGAATAGGAGCAGGGAGGGGGACAGTCCAGCAGAGGAGGTCTGACAGCAGCCACAGAGGACTCCATGGGAGCTCTGGAACCTGCATGGTCCTTCAGGGGTGCCCCATGTGGACCCAACGTGGACAGATCTTCACGGGCCTGTACCCATCTGGGCTGCACCAGGAAGGATCCCGGCCTTGGAGAAGGCAGCTCCCTGCAGTAGGGTCTAGACTGGAAGAGGCTGAGAGGTGTCAGCTGCCTCCAAGGAACTCCCAGCAGCAGGCCAGCGTGTCCCTCCCTGAAGAGAGCTGGCAGGCATACTTCAGGGTCCACCAGGGTCACCCAGGGAGGCAGGGCTGGGTGTTCATGCTGCAGCTCCTGACAGTCCTTGATTGACTGGGGGAATGAATTCCTTCATGCTTCCAGCCTCCAGGGTGAGCTACGGCAACCAGGAGAGGGCCCTGGGCAAACGGGTTGCAGGGGAGGGTCATGGAAGTTGGGCAGATGGAGGAAAGTCATGCAGAGGTGGGATAGGCCCTGGGGGACATGGCAGCAGCTACACATGGTCATGCAAACCCTCTGGTCTCAGCAGGGAAGACGGAGTAGATTAGTGGAACACACCCAGCCCACACCTGTGAGAATAGGCCCCACTCCTGGGCACTGGATGGGACTGCAAAGGTGAGACACAACCACCCCTTAAAGCCAGGGGCAACCTAGAGGCCCAGGAGGGAGGGCCCGTGTCACCCCACGTGGGCTCAGCCCCACAGGGATTGAGGCATCCCAGAGAAGAGTCCCAGAGCTTGTATTAAAACCTCGATGTCCATAGGCAGGGGAAGGGCTTGGCATAAACCTGGGTGGAGTTCTGAGACCTGCAGGGCTGTTCAGGAGGCAGGCGTGGCGCGGAGGAACCAGCAGTCACTCAGTGGAGCAGGAAGCTGCAAATCTTTTGCACACCCAGAATTTCTTGTAATCACATTTGGAGTCCTTCCAGCCACTGCTTCGCACTTCCACGCAGTCCTGTCCGCCACGGTTGTTGGGCTGCCCTGGCATCCAGTATCTCGTGAGGCTGCAAAACCATCCACGTGGTGAGCCTCCACCCAGCCCCCTCCGTGCGCTGTCTCTGCTCCAGGACATGTGATGCTCTCACATCTGTCCTACAAGCCTGTGGCAGACAAGCCTTGTTCCGGACACCCAGTGACATGCCTGAGTCACTCGACCTTGGACCCTGCCCCTTGTTGGCCCCCATGAGAGGAATCCTCCTGCTAAGGGTGTGACTGTCACATGCAACCAACCAGCCTAGACTTCACACCCCAGCCACCTTGCTTGGGGGACTCTGGGCCACTATACGCCTCCCCAGGGCTAAGTACCAGGCATCTAGGGTCAGCACCTCCAGCCCAGAGCCCACTGAAAAGACTCAAGCTAGCCATTCTTACGCGAGCTTCTTAAACTCTGCCTCATTGAATCCTTCCGTGGACACCACAATGCAGGCCCTCGCCCACGGCGCCTCCTCCCACTGCCCAGCCCTGCCCTTCCCCAGGGGGCTGCCATGGATTGAAGTTGGCTCCTTCTTTTGAGATCCACGAGAATCTCAAGCTATCTTTTCAGTGGAATTGTCTTCTTGTGCCCTTGGTCTTGCTATCCCTCAGATTTTCTAGTAACACTCTCCGTTTTCAGTCACCCACCCAGGCTCCGAGCTCCTCCTGCAGCTCTGGTGGTGGAATTTCACCCAGTGGCCCCCTCTCGGCACAGGAGGATGAAGACCAGCTTCCTCAACTCAGTGAGTGTCACAGACTCTCAGGCCTAGGGGCCAGGGAGTGGGAACCCCAGGTGTAGCCCAAGCCAGAGCTTCAGAGCATCACCCTGCTCTCTAGGGAGTGCCCTTCCCCCAGGACCTACTTGAGTGACAGAGGAGAGCCATCCACCCAGTACCATGCGCCTTCCTTATTCAGGTCCGAGAGCCCCAGCCAGGCAGAGCCTTGGATGTCAGAAGTCTGCTGCAGGAAGCTCTGGAGGGGGGAGGAGGAGTCAGGAGGAAGCTCTGGGCTTATTTACCAGCTTGTGATTCCCCAATCTCTCGGTGGCAAGTTCTGCTTGCAGTCTGGCCTCTAATCTTCTAGCATATGGAAGCCATGAACCCCCTCCTGTGTTCAGGAGCTTGGGTCCTCCCTCATCTGTATGCCATGGGCAGATGTGTTTTGGATGCACACTCAATGTGCAGCTGGCTCGTCTCTCACACACTAGCTACATGTTCTGAGCACATTTACATGAATGCATTCATGACGGGGTTAAAGTCTAGGGTCAGACCGTCCCTGCTCATGACAGCTGGTCATGCACATCACCTCTTTTCAAATCTGCATTGAATGACGGCCCATTGGTAGCTTGAAATCAGTCGTGATGGAATATCTACATGGGGAAAGTCGGCAAGTGTAACTCATGAGCACGGCACTTCTGCCCGAGAGCAAGTTGTCACCCCTGGTCAGCGCACCAGTGGGGGCACTGAACATCCTTGTTGCTCCTCAAGCATTCACCCTTGACCAGACTTTGTGTGTCCCCTGCGAGCTGCCTGGGACCCCCTGTCCATGCCCGTCTCCTCCCTTCCACTGGAGGAAGCAGCCCCTGCTTCAAAAATCCTGTTCTGACCAACGTCTCCTCCCAGGTGGCCAGTGGCCAGATGCCTGCCCAGACCAGGATGGGGCCCACCATGCACCTGCTCCTCAGTGCTTTTGATGACGACTAGTTGGGCCCCCACTTCCTGGCAGGCGGTGACGGAGTCATGCCAGTTCCGCTGGGACTTGGAGAAGAAGTAACAGTTTCCTTGGAAGAACGTCCAGTCCCAGGGGCAGGGGCGGCACAGGCGGTCTGTTGGGGGAGAGGGTCAGGCTTGACCCTTGCTGGGAGGCCATGTTCCCATGTCTGCCCACCTTCAAGCCCTGGAGAGTTAGGGACCTTGTATGACCCTGCACCTGGGTGACTGTCCCCTCCCTGGACCCCTGGCACCCAGGAGCCCCCAGGAGTCCTGGTCCCATCTCCTCCAGCCTGGGAGAAGCAGGGGCTCCAGAGCCCAGGAGACTGGCCTGAGTGCCTACTGTGGGCACGGCCATCTGTGAGCACCAAGTGCCACTGTCACTGTTATCCTGTGTTCCCATTTCACAGATGAGGAAGCAGGTTCAGAGAGGGCTGGTTATTTAAGCAAAGTCTCACAGCACAGACCCTTTGAGGCCCCCAAGAGATGCAGTGTCTGGTCACTCACCAACTGCTGCCTTCAGCTGGGTCAGTTCCTGGTACACCTTCTCCTGCTTCACTAGCTCCTGCTCCTGTTCCTGGGAGCTGGGGACCTTGGAGACTGTGCCAAGAGAAAATAAGCTACAACTGTTGAACACCTACTGTTTGGTCATCATTTCTGAGAGCCAAGGTGTTGTTTAGTTCTGATTGAAGACGAAGAAAAGTGGCATCCAGAGTGGGCTGAAGCACAAGGGTGCATGGAGCCGGGACCCTCGCAGGTCCTCCTCCCCCTCCCCTGCACTGATGTGGGGGGTGGGGGCAGGCAATCCCCAGGGAAGCTGCTGAAGGACCCCATGCCAGCTTTGACCCCATGTCCATCCGGGACCTGGCTGCCCCAGTCTAGGGCCCAGATAAGGGATCCCCACCCTAAGGCCTGCCCTGACCTTGGACAAGGGCAGCCACCAGGATCCCAGCTAAGACCGTGAGGCAGAGCAGCTGCAGGACCAGGGGGACGTGGCCATGGCCCAGGCACCCTAGGAAGAGAAGGAAGAGGTATTCCAGCGTCCAGTGCCCTGCCTCAGCCTGGCCACAGCCTGCGCCTCCCTGGGGCACAGGACTCCAGAGGATCAACCTCTGCCTGCCAGGATGCAGGAGTGGACACCAGCCTGTGTGCGTGGCTGAAGTCCTTGTCCCAGATTCCACTCCTTTAGGTCCCACTGTCCAGGGTCCTAATCTTACTATCCCAGAACCGAGTGCCGGGGGACCGTCCACCTCTTGGTCCCATCCCAGCTCTACCTGCCAAGCTATTGAATGCAGAAGTCAGTCGGAATCCTGAGCCTTCTGCCCAAGACCTGGTGGCGCTGGCCGTCATCAGCCCCTTCTCTGAGTTGAAAGCGCGTCAGTCAGAGCCTGGGCAGGCTGGGGCCCGAGCTGGCCCCTTACACCCCCCTCCCAACTCCCAGACTCCCAGCCCAGCCTCACCCAGAGGACCCAGCTGCTGCACCCTGGCTTCCTTGAAGTCACTCATGATCACCGCTGTCCCTTAGTGCCCAGGGCTGATGACACCACAGCCTTTATTCCCACCCCCTGAATTTACTGCACGTCAAGAAGAGAAACAGGGAACTGGGTAGGACACAGGAAGAGGGCAGAGGGAGGGGGCCGAGCCTGGGACACACCAGGACAGGGGCTCGCATTCCAGGATCTCAGGGAGCGGCTGTGTGGCCTGCCTCCAGAGCAGGAGAGCCGGTCCACTCTCGGGACGGCTAAGCTGTGGATGTTCTTAACAAAACCCGCATCTTGTCAAGCTCCATATTTATCCCTTCTTCACCCGTGGTGAGAGTGGGCAGCGAGGCCTCCCGTCCTCCCTGAAACATGTCCCCTCCGGTCCCAGGCATTGTTGCTTTGGTTTGCTGATGTCCTGGGACTTGGGCTGAATCATCATTGCTTCTGTGTGTGTGTGTGTGTGTGTGTGTGTGTGTGATTTAATGCATGAACTTCATCAGAAAATCCATTATCATACTGCTTTAAAAATTTAAAGTAAAAAACCCACGTAAGTGCTTGAATAGATTGAAAAAAAAATAGGTAAAACACAACACGATTCCTGATTGAAACTTTTAAAAATACTTTTATTGATTGATTGGTTTCATGGGGCGCTGAGGATTGAACCCAGGGTCTCACACATGTGAGGCAAGCGCTCTGCCACTGAGCCACAATCCCAGGCCCTGACTGATACTTTAAAAATTCTTCGGCAACTAGAAATAGAAATGAAATGTCCCTAATGTGATGGTGGTGTCCATCAACCCCCCCACAGCAAGACTCATGGGAACTGTCAGGAGCACTCTCACTGAACCCAGGCGGAAGCCGAGTGTGGTGGTGCACGTCGGAATCCCTGCTGCTCAGGAAACTGAGGCAGGAGGATGGCAAGTTCAAGGCCAGCCTGGGCAACATGGTGAGACCCTGCCTCAAAATAAAATTTAAAAGGGTGTCATTCAGTGGTGGAGTGCTTGGTTAGTATGCACAGGACCTGGGCTCAGTCCCAAGTAACACACACGCACGCACACACGCACACATCAGGAAAAAGAATGAAAAGAAAAACATCCAGAGATCACACAGAACTCCTAAAACTCAACAAGAAGAACACACTGAGGTGTTTTTTTTAAAATATTTTTTAGTTGTTGATGGACCTTTATTTTATTTATTTGTAGGTGGTGCTGAGAATCGAACCCAGTGCCTCCCACATGCTAGGCGAGCACACTACCACCCAGCCACGGTCCCAGCCCCCACACTGAGTTCTGACATAGGCAAAAGTGCATCTTAACAACAGAAAAACACATCCCCGATTATGAAAAGGACAGAGCACCCAAGTAGACACCCAGGTGGCCAAGGGCACATGAAGAGGTGAGAACCACCCAAGAGTAGCCAAATAGCCAATGGTCCAAGGGTGCAGGGAGATGGGAATCCTTGGTCACCGTTGGCGAGAACATGGAACGGAGCAGGGCCGTGCTTCAAGACACCACTGAAGGAGTTTCCATGTGGCCCGATGATGATGCCATTTCTGGGAATATGACCAAAAGGATCCAAAGCGAGGATTCAAAGAGATAATTGTACAGTTGTGTTCGTCAGAGAGGCATCTGCTTCAGCAAAAAGGTGGAAGGAACCCACCCGTCCAATGAACCCACCAGAAATGGATGACCAGAAGCCGTCTACTCACAAAGCAGTGGACTATCACTCAGCCTTCAAAAAGAAAGGCCATTCTGATGACGCCACCTGTGAGCAGCAGGGACCTGCTGCGAGGTGGAAAAGACCAGTGCACAAAGACAAATGCTAGGATCCTTTCTTTGAGGGATGATGAAACCAGGTAACGGAGTGGTTATTCCTGCCGTTCCTGTGACCCTGGACGGCCTCAGCCTCCCAAGCCACCGGGATCACAGGTGTGCGTCGCCGCGCCCGGCTGCAAATGTTCTCACTGCCACTGAACTGTCCACTTTAAAAACTCTGTAGATGGAAAATGCTATATCGTTTGGATTTTACCACGATTAAAATGACACTTTTGAAGGACAAAAAAATTTCCCTTTCCCTACCTTAAAAGGAAATGAACTAAATTCCTTTTTCTCTTTCATTTCTGCTTTCCTTGGCGTTTCCTGGTCTATACAACCAAACTTTTTACTCTGGTTCTTTTGTATGTTTGTTTTGTTTGGATTTTTTTTTTTGTACTGTCAACTTAACCCGGGGGTGCTCAACCACTGAGCCTCATCCCCAGCCCTTTTTAATTTTTTTATTTTGAGACAATGTCTTGCTACATTGCTTAGGAACTTTCCAAGTTGCTGAGGCTGGTCTTGAACTTGCAATCCTCCTGCCTTTACTTCCTGAGCTGCTGGGATTACAGGCGTGTTCCTCTGTGCTTGACTTTTTACTCCAAAGATTGGAAATTTCACCCCGTTTTCATAGAATGACAGGTGGCCCCACTCTAAAACTGACCACAAAACCTATGGAGATCAACTCCGCTGTTATCATGTTGTTCTTTAGCCGGGGAACTAGCCTTCCAATAATATCAAGAAACCAACACAAGAGAAGCCAAATGCCAAAAGCCAGGATAAGGAACAAAACGGCACAGGTAAGAACAGAGAGCAATGCGAGTTGATCATGGAGGGACATTGGGTCGACACTAGGGCACAGGAAGCCCGGGGTGGGGGGAAGGACAGTGAGGGACAGCGGGAGACGGGCCAGTGAGAAATGAAGGACGGAGACAGGCAGAGACCCGCACCAAGGTTTATTTGTCACAGATGACAAATAGAGGCCATCCCTCTCCAGAGAGGAGAGAGGCCCCGAGATGTTTGGGGTTCAGCTTTTGTGGGGTCGGGCTTTGGAGCTGGAGCTGTGGCGCTGTGGGACAGGCTGGGGACGTCAGAGCTGGGCGGTGGGAATAGCATGGGATTGGCTTAGGTCGATGGCACCTGGGGCTCTCCAGAGCCAAGGGATCGTGTCCTAACTTCAAGTACATCTGTGCAGCTGAATACGGTACATGGGGTAGGTCACTAACAGGGCAGGAGGTCGGGTAAGAGGAAGTACAGGAAGCAAACTTATCTCATAAGGTGGCGGTTAACTTGGAAGCTGGCTGCTCAGATGTTAAGTCAAGACCCTGTGGGGTGGTTATTTTCCACCAGCGGTCCTCCAGCTCTGGCACCAGCTACCAGGGGCAGCAGCGGATTCCACCAGGTCTGGGCTTCCTCCCACAATGCTGACTTCCTGCAGGTGTCTGCCGCGTGCAGGGGCTGACCCTGCTTTATCAGGCCAACCACAAAGTTTGGGTTCTTCCAACACCCTCACGTTTGGTAATTTTCCAGGTGGCTCAGAAAAAAAAATGTTGCTTATATTTTCTGGTTTATTATAAAAGATAGAATTCAGATGCAGACAAAGGGAAATGGTGTATACAGTAGGGGAAAGAGGGAGGAGTGGTGTGGGGCTTCCTGTCCCCAAGAGGGCCGCCTGCAGCTCCTCCCTGTCCTCACCAGCCTGGTCTGACCCGAGTCTCCTTGCTACAAGAGTCCTCCCAGAGCTCAAGGGCCAATACCCCCCCGGCTCCCCGGAGCTGAGCCGATGGGGCTCCAAGTTCCAACCTGCTAATCATCCATGTGGACTTTCTGGTGACCAGCCTTGTGACAAGGTTGCCAAGCCACACGCTAACTCGGCTCACTGACCTAAATTCAAGTGCACCTGTTGTCAGATCAGGCGAGGCGGGCAGCAATCAAAGGAGGCAGATTTAAAAGGACCACCAAAGGAGGCTTTATTGAGATATCACTCCCGGGCAGAACTCGATCAGACCCACAGAGGGGACAGGAGAAGGGTCTGAGGAGAAACTGTGTGGGAGCTCGACCAGACTGGACTTTTATGGGGCTTACAGCAGGAAGGGAAGGGCTTGGGACAGGAAAAGGTGTTTTTAGGGTCCCTTGTCCCTTGGAGTTGGTCGGGGGAGTTGGCTGAACTCCAGGATTGGCCAGGGGGTCCTGATGATTGACAGGCCTTAGTCAGGAGATCCCGCTGATTGACAGGCGTTTCCTCCGGCACCTGATTGATGTTCCTTTCCCGCCCGCGCTGCTTTGTTCTAAGTCGACAGTAAGTTGCCACCAAGTGGCCACCACCGACCTAACACCTGTGCAGCTGAATACGAACAACAAAAGGCACCTCCTCATTCACAACCACAGAGGGAGCCCGTAGGCACAGGAGGGAGGGAGGCCATGGCCTAGCCTCTCTGGAGAAATCTCCTAGAAGAGACCCAGAGCTGGAGTTGAGATCTCCGTGCCTACACCCAGAGAGGAGAGGGCTGGCAGAAATGAGAGTGAAGTTCGGTCACCTGGCGAGGAGGTTGGAGCTGCTAGGGCTGGAGAGAGGGACTGGCTGTCACTCGTGGGAGCAGGAAAGTGCAGATTTTTTGCAGACCCAGAATTTGCTGATATCACATTTGGCGTCATTCCAGCCGTCGCCATCAAATTCCGCGCAGTCTTCCTGTCCCAAGTTGTTGGGCTCCGTTGGGTTCCAGTACTTCATGAATCTGCAAAGCCACCCGCATCATGAGCCTCTGCCCAGCCCCCTCTGTGAGCTGTGTTCTGGCTTCTGGAAACCATCTGCCCTGCACGCACATGCATGCAAGCCTTGCTCAGGACGCCTAATGACATGCCCTGTCCCTTGTCGTCCCCCATGCTTAAAAGGAGCCCCCCAAATCAGGGTGGGACCTTCAGACACAATCTAACCAGCATCCTAAACTCCACACCCCAGACACTTTGCTTAGTGGGCTCTGGCACTCTGGGCCACTCAGACACCTCCCCAGGCCACATGAGACGTCTAGGGACAGCACCTACAGCCCAGAGCCCACGGAAACGACTCAAGCTAGCCCCTCGCCAGGCTGCTCACTCTGCCTCTCCTCTTCCTCCCTGTGGAAGCAATAAAGGCTCTTTCCCTTTTTCTGCACCCTCTGCCTCCCAACAGGCCCCCACATCCTCCCCACGTGTCCCCTGTGGTGTGAGGGACAGGGACACTCCCTCTCTTGGGACCTGGGAGTATAACAATCTGTCTCTTCCCCAGAAATGGTGTCCTGTGATTTTGCCTGTGTTGAGCCAGGCTGGAAGCTGCTCCTGCAGCTCTGATAGTAGAATCTGGGGCACCGGCTCTTCTGTCTGAACACGGGTGGGGAGAGCACCCCCCTCGGCTCGGCTCATGTCCTAAGCTCTAGGCCTCGAGGGCGAAGGAGTGGGGAGCAGCCCACCGACAAGTCAAGCCACAGCTTCGGAACCCCACCCTCCTCCACAGCGTGTCCTCATATCCCAGGATCCACCTGAGCGACAGAGGGGAGCCGTCCACCCAGTGCCACGTGGCTTCCTCATTCAGGTCTGACAACCCCATCCAGGTATGGCCTCTTTTCTTTGTAGTCAGCTGCAGGAAGCTCTGGAGAGGAAGAGGAGGAGACAGGAGGAACCTCTGTGCCCTATTGTCCTGCCAGTGTCTCCCAATCTTTTGGTGTGGGAAGTGCTTCTTTCAGTCTGACCGTCAGCTTCTTTCTAGTCTACCAGACCAAGACGCTCTCCTCCAACTTGTGCTCAAGACGTCTGAGTGTCTCCCACGTCTGTATGCTGTGGGCAGTGTGTCCGGCCTGGCATACTGTACACACACAGCCGGCCTCACAACACACGCTTGGTAATATTGCGTGTTCGACTCGCCTGTTCTGAGCACGTCCATACAAACTTGCTCATGACTAGCGCTGGAGCCAGATTGTATCTGTGCATGACGGCTGGTCAGGCACGTCACCTCTTCTAGCTCTACAACAAGTGACATCCTATGGGTGGGCTGACCTCAGCCATGGTGGGAATATTTACACCAGGGAAACTGGCAGAGTGACCCACGAGGACCTCGCTCCCCACAGACTGAGTTGTTGGGCACTGGGTCAGCACACATGTGGGAATCTCTTGGCATTTCAGGTGTCCCCACACATTTAGAGTTTGTGTGAGGCTCCCTGCGAGCTGCCTGGGACCCCACCCGGCCACCCATGCCTTCTCCTCCCTTCCACTGGAGGAAGCAGCCCCTGCTCCTGAAAACCTGTCTGACCAACGTCTCCTCCCAGGTGGCCAGTGGCCAGATGCCTGCCCCGGACCAGGACGGGGCCCACCACACACCTGCTCCTCATCGCTATTGATGACGACTAGTTGGGCCCCCACTTCCTGGCAGGCGGTGATGGAGTCGTGCCAGTTCCGCTGGGACTTGGAGAAGAAGTAACAGTGTCCTCGGAAGAACGTCCAGTCCCAGGGGCAGGGGCGGCACAGGCGGTCTGTTGGGGGAGAGGGTCAGGACCCGTGCTGGGAGGCCATGTTCCCATGTCTGCCCACCTTCAAGCCCTGGAGTCAGGGCCCTCACATGACCCTGTGCCCGGGTGACCATCCCCTCCCCACCCCCTGGGTTCCTTCCACCCAGGAGCCCCCAGGAGTCCTGGTGCCATCTCCTCCAGCCTGGGAGAAGCAGGGGCTCCAGAGCCCAGGAGACTGGCCTGAGTGCCTACTGTGTGCACGGCCATCTGTGAGCACCAAGTGCCACTGTCACTGTTATCCTGTGTTCCCACAAAATAGCCCAGGAAACTGAGGTTCAGAGAGGACCAAGGACTCAAGCAAAGCCCCACAGCACAGACCCTCTGAGGCCCCCAAGAGATGCAGTGTCTGGTCACTCACCGACTCCTGCCTTCAGCTGGGTCAGCTCCTGGTACACCTTTTCCTGCTTCGCCAGCTCCTGCTCCTGTTCCTGGGAGCTGGGGACCTTGGAGACTGTGCCCAACAAATAAATTGCAACTATTAAACACTGACTGTGTGCCACAGCCCGCACGGGACCCCTACAGACATCACTTATGTCTAATTAATCGATCCTGTTGGAGGATGAAGACACCCAGATACACCTGAACCAGGAGGGCAAGTGGTCCAGGAGCCTCCCTCGCTCCCCTGCGTAAGAACAAGCATCCAGAAGAGGCTGAAGGACCAGATCCTGCCTCCCCCACCTCCCCCCTGGCTCCAGCTTAAGGACCACACCAGCCCTCAGGCTGCCCTGACCTTGGACAAGAAGAGCCACCAGGAGCCCAGCGAAGAGCGTGAGGCCGAGCAGCTGCAGCACGAAGGTGTGGCCGTGGCCCAGACACCCTGAGGAGAGAGGGATGGGACTCCAGCGCCCAGCGTCCCTGCCTCAGCCTGCTCCGGGGACAGTCTGGCCCTGATCCCCAGGGCACCGGCTCCCAGGCCTCCATTTCGACCTTTCTGCGTCAGCCCGGCTCCCAATTTCCCCCAAAGGGTCTGGGGTTTCAAACTCGGGGTCTAGAGTCCCCGACCCAAGTGTCTTGGAGGAGCTGTCCACTCCTCCTCAGCCGCATGCCGGCTCTACCTGCCAAACTACCGAAACCAGAAGTTGACGTCATCTGCAGAATTCTGGTGCCTCTGGCTCTCAGCTGTCCTCGTCCACACGGGCAGAGTGTCAGACCACGCTGGCCGCCCAGGCCCCTTCCCCAGCTCCCAGAGTCCCAGCCAGCCTCACCTGGAGGACCCAGTGGCTGCATCCTCACTTCCTTAGAATCAGTCATGGTCACTGCTGTCCCCCAGTGCCCCGGGCTGCGGGGACCCAGCTTTTATTCCCACCCCACCCCTCTCTGGATCCACTGTCAGGAAGAGGAACAGGACACTGGGGAAGGGCCCAGAAGAGGGTAGAGGGAGGAGCCTGTGCCTCTTCCACCCCACAGCGGGGGCTCGAGGTTCCAGCAATTTCTGGGAGGGGTTGGAGGTGGTCTGGGCTCTGAGGCAGATAGAACTGGTTCACTGGTACTGCGGCCAGGCTACTGTGGTCTTTAAAACCAATGACTCATTTTTCTAAAAAGCGACTTTTTACTCCTTCTCCACTGTGGCAAGAGTGGGCTAGCAACACCTCTGTTTCCCAGAAACACCTCCCCTCTGACCCAGGCTTTGCTGACATCCTCACTTATGGTGCTGACTTGGGACTTGGGGCTGAAGCACGGTTGCGTCTATGTGCTTCACGTCTATGTGCTTCACGTCCCCTACAGTGAGGCTCTTTTCTGCTTTCCGGTACTCACTGGTTGAATCTCTCCAGCCTGTGATGGATGATCTGACCTCCTTTTTACAGTTTGGGTCAATTGGAAGCACAGCATGGTCAGGACACTGGCTCAAGGTCACACAGCTGGTGAATTGTGGAGCTGGAAATTAATCTTAGACAGTCAGTCCCCACAGTCCACACTGTGGACCAAAGGGAGTCACATAGTCTTCAGGAGAAAGCAAAAAAGAGTTCCTAGCAGCTGAATTCACCACAGTCCAAAATTGTGAGAACCCAAGTGGCCACCTATAGACAAATGAAAGAAAACATTGGGTCTTGGCAGATGGAAGTCTATACAGCTAAGAAAAAAAAAAAAACTATCAAATTATGAAACAACATGCACGTATCTCCTAGAAGAGTAAAGGCCTTCAGACATCCAGAACACACCCCTAAGACTGGCTTTGGTGTTTTTCCATTCCAAGAACCAATCTTGAAGGGGGGCTCCGAGTGCGGATTGACATGGAGGAGGATCAAGGACATCTTCAGTGTCCTGAGATGTTTTCACTCTTCTCCGAGAGGAGGCTGGAGGTATGCTCTCATCGATAAAAGTGTCCTGAGACATGGATTGAAGACTTGCACCTTGTACTGGAGGAGTGTTATGTCCAATTTAGAAATTAAAAACACGTGCGCAGGTTATGATGAAATACTGGATTTGCTGCCTTATTTTTAATATTTACATAGGAATTTTATTTTATACTAGTTTTGGTAATTTTGCAAAGGTAGCATAGACCTTTCCCGAGTCCTCGAGGGAGCTCCCCTGTTCTGGCGCTCTGGCTGGGAGGTGGAGACCTGGCAGGTGCCCCATGCTGACCTCTTCCTGAGACAGGTACAGAGTCACTGGAAGTGGTCTGCGGGTCTTGCCGTTTTCTCCAACGTCCTTCCTCTGCTACAGAATCCACCCAGGACACTGCTCGGATCTGGACATCACATCCCCTTTGGCTCCTCTGGACGGTGGCAGATGCTGTGACTCTCCTGTTTGGAAGATGCTGACCACGTTGACGTTGACCACGACAGGTCAGCTGTTTGTGGGATGCCCCTAAATCCGCCAGCGTCTGATGTTCACTCCTAGTGGGACAAGAAGCCCCAGGAGGAACCAGCAGGCAACACCCAAAGTGGCGACATCAGGAAACGGAGACATCAGGGCCAGGGCCAGCGTTTCTGGGAAGAGGGGGGCGTGGCTAGCTCACCACCACCACATGGGCGAAGGTTGGCCAAGCAGCTTAATTTGACAAGTGACCCATTTCATTAACGGCACCCAGAGTGGCCAGACCAGGAGGGGACCGGTTCTTTCAGCCAGGGACCCCAAACCTTGCAGCCCTTCCCTGAAATTCCGGGAACACAGGGCACGTGCTGCACTGTGACAGGTGTTCGGTCCCCTCCCTGTCGCTTCTTCCGAAGTCCCTACCCAGTTTCCTGTTTCTTCCTGACGGGGAGTCGCCACAGGCAGGGAGTTACAGGGGTGGGGATAAAGGCTGTGGTGCCAGCAGTCCTGGGCACTGAGGGACAGCAGTGACCCTGAGTGACTTCAAGCAAGTGCGGGTGCAGCAGCTGGACCCCCTGGGTGAGGCTGGGCTGGGACTCCGGGAGCCTGGGGGGCCACGGGCACCAGCCTGGGGGGCAGCCTGTCCCGCTCTGACTGACGCTCTGCCCACACAGAGGAGGAGCCGGCGGCCAGCAGCGCCAGAGGCTCCCTCAGCCACCACGCACTCCAGCCGCCCTCCAGAGCAGGCAGCTCTGCAGGTAGAGCAGGGGGGGACTGAGGAGGGACAGGTGCTCCTGGGCAGCCGCGTCCTGGGGACGAGGAGGTCGGGTGTCCGGGCTCTGGGATCCTGGCAGGCGGAGGCCCAGACCTGGAGGCTGGAATCTGGGCTCCTGGGTCCTGGGAAGGTGGAGGCCGAGGTCCGTGGACGAGGCCCGGGCCAGGCTGTCCCTGGGCCAGGCTGAGGCAGGGACCCTGCTGTGCTGAGCCCCTTCCCTCCCTCCTCAGGGTGTCTGAGCTCCGGCTCTGCCCTCCTGCTGCTGCAGCTGCTCTCCCTCATGGTCTTGGCTGGGCTCCTGGTGGCCGTCCTTGCCCAAGGTCAGCCCTGGGGTTTGGAGCTCTGTGGTCTGGCCCTTGGACTTGGGTGGCCAAGGCAGGAGGGAGCTGGGATGAACGCTGGGATTCGACCCTTAGCAGGTTCTAGGGTCTGCTCGGCCCCCACACCCCTGGTGCGGGGGGTGGGGAACAGCACAGGAGGGTGCTGGTCCCGCCTTCCCTGGGTGTCAGGGGTCCTCGTCTTCAGCTGGGGTCAAGAAGGCCTTGGCTCTCAGACACCAGGTCCCTGGGGGCCAGGGCAGTGCATGGAAGCCAGCAGGTCCGGCATTTGGGGCTTCTTTTCTCTTGGCACAGTCTCCAGGGTCCCCAGCTCCCAGGGACAGGAGCAGGAGCTGTCAAAGCAGAAGGTGTGCCAGGAGCTGACCCAGCTGAAGGCAGGAGTCGGTGAGTGACCAGACACCGCGCTCCCAGGGCCCCAGAGGGTCTCCATGTGGTGACACTTTGCTTGGGTCACTAGCCCTCTCTGAGCCTCAGTTTCCTGGGCTATTTTATGGGAACACAGGATAACAGTGACAGTGGCACTTGGTGCTCACAGACGGCCGTGCACACAGTAGGCACTCAGGCTAGTCTCTTGGACTCTGGAGCCCTGCTTGTCCCAGGCTGGAGGAGATGGCACCAGGACTCCTGGGGGCTCCTGGGGGGAAGGGACATCCGGGAATGGGGAGGGGACAGTCACCCAGGTGCAGGGTCATGTGAGGGCCCTGACTCCAGGGCTTGAAGGTGGGCAGACATGGGAACATGGCCTCCCAGCACGGGTCCTGACCCTCTCCCCCAACAGACCGCCTGTGCCGCCCCTGCCCCTGGGACTGGACGTTCTTCCGAGGACACTGTTACTTCTTCTCCAAGTCCCAGCGGAACTGGAATGACTCTGTCACCGCCTGCCAGGAAATGAGGGCCCAACTAGTCGTCATCAAAAGCGCTGAGGAGCAGGTGCATGGTGGGCCCCATCCTGGTCTGGGCAGGCATCTGGCCACTGGTCACCTGGGAGGAGACGTTGGTCAGACAGGTTTTCAGGAGCAGGGGCTGCTTCCTCCAGTGGAAGGGAGGAGAAGGCATGGGTGGCCGGTGGGGCCAGGCAGCTCGCAGGGAGCCTCACAGGAAGTCTGGACGTGCATGTGTGCTTTGGGAGACACACCTAGAGGGTGATCTGGTGCGCTGGCTAGGGGAGCCGCCTGCTCTCAGGGATAACAAGTACTCGGGGGCGCCGTGCCCATCTCCCTGGTGTAAACCTGCCCCCGCCCCCTGGTCGCGTTTCATGACTAAAACACTCAGGTTCCTCCAGGTGAACTGGGCTGCACAAAATTACCACACAAGAGTCAGGGAGACCTTTTTCTTTGGGTTCTGATGGCTCCTCTGATTTTAGGTGTCCTTGGAGAGAGAGAGAGAGAGAGAGAGAGAGAGAGAGAGAGAGAGAGAGCGCTGACCCCTTTTATTGGGGAAAAGCCATTCAAATGAGGCTGGGGTCAGGTTTCAGGGGGCTGAGCCTAGCTTCGAGATGTCCACTGTCAGCAGGTTGACTGACATCTAGGAAGGCCACACCCGAGGGCAGAGCAAGAGAAGGGGACACACAAAGGGGATTTCCATGGAACATTCTATCCCAAACAGGACAAAGGGGTAGTATTACAAAAGAATAAGTGAGTGTAGCTCAGCCCCGGGGGTGTGCCTACTCAGAAGACTGCCTTGCTATCTGAGCAGGGGAAAAGACCGAGTCACGAGTCATGGCGTGACCTTTCAGATCCCCATGGTGCATCAGGACTGGAAGGCGTGGTCACTCAATGTGGCTCCCCACACCCATGGACGATGGCGCATGCCTGTAATCCCAGTAGCTGGGGAGTCTGAGGCAGGAGGATTTTGAGTTCAAAACCAGCCTTAGCAGCTTAATAAGGCCCTAAGTAACTCAGTGAGACCCTCTCTCTAAATAAAATACTAAAAAGAATGGGCTGGGGTGTGGCTCACTGGTCAAGCACCCCTGGGTTCAATCCCTGGTACAAAAAGAAAAGAAGTGTTTGTTTAGTACACAAGTGTTAGAGAATGACCTGTCTTGTCTCAGTTACTGATTTCTAGTTGGATTCCCTTATAATCAAAGAACATACTCCACACAATTCCAAGGATTTAAATGTATCGAGGCCTGTTCGCATCCCTGGACATCATCTACCCTGATGAATGTTGCCACGGAGAACGTGGAACTTGAGAAAGCTGTGTACCATGTGTGTTCTGTAGTTTGGTACTGTGTGTGTGTGTGTGTGTGTGTGTACTTGACTTGATTTAATTTAAAAATTCAGTACAACACAAGGCCCATTCATGATTTACATTAAACATTCTTAGTGAATTAGAAATGAAGTGAAATGTCCTTAACATGAGAGTGATGTCCCTCGAGAACCCACAACTATGATGTCCCTCATAACTACTGGAGAAATGTTGAACGGTCCCATTGAAATCAGGAACAAGCATAAAAATGAAATCTGTAGTCTGCAAATCACATAACCCACAAAGGATTTATATCAAGAGTACATTCATAACTCATCAAACTCCATAAGAGGAAAATAAGATACCGAATTTTCAAGTGGGCAAAACGACAATCCTGTAACAGAAGAACGCATAGCCTCGTTAGGGACAAAGGACTTCAATGGCTATGTCTCTTGAGACTTTTAGGGAGTAGGAGAAACCCCCCTAACAAAGGAATCACATACCTGTATTTTAGATGTTATGGATGCAGGGCCACATACAACCTAAAGGATCTGGTACACTCACAAGCAGGAGCACATGCGTGCACGCGCACACACACACACACACACACACACACTTTTCTTTTGCTTAGATTGGAAAAGAGGTGTAGGTAAAATCCCAGAAGGTTGCTGTTTGAACTAAGCTACTGCTCTAGGGCCCAACAGATGAAGCAAAGCCCAACAGAGTCTCTTAGGCTAATGTTCCTAGTCACCCGACTGAAACTAAAGTGCTTCTCTCGCTTCCTGAGAAGTCACAGTTGGAGGGATGACTGCCCAATTTTACAGCCAGGCTGGTTTCCACAGGCCTGAAAACAAAGCTCTCCCTGCCGTGATCCTCACACAGAAAAGGCCACCTAAAGTAGCCTCAGGTCTCCCAGTCTGTCCTGGCTCTAGAGTTCTGTCCCCCTGCCTTCGTCCGACAAGGAACGTAAGGTGGAAGGGACGATCCACTTTGTCTCGTTTCTGCTTTCCCCAGCCCTCCCTCTCTACCCGGCCAGACGTCTTGGCTCTGAGGATTAGAAAATCTGTCCTACTTTAAGCAAGGAAGTGTTGCTGTGCTCTATATGGGAACACAAAGCCGCCGGAGATTCAACCCTAGAACTTGTGCTTATCAGAGGAAAGATCTTACACACACAGCCTCAAGGAACTAATTTTAAAAAGAGTCCAATCGATGCCAAACAAGCCCAGAGAAGGACATAGCGAAGACCAGAAAGGGAATCAGCACCAGGGGAACCATCGGGAGAGTCCAAAAAATAAAACTGCGTTCAAAATCGACTGTCTGTCGGGGCGAGGGAATTTAGCACACAAGCTGTTCATGAAGGAGCATTTTCGGGGCCATCCTTGGTGGCCGGGAGCCTGCAGAATTTTTTCCAACAAGCAATCCTGCCGTTCTGACACTAGTCACCAAGAGGGCACATCAGATTCCTCAAGTCGGTCTGGTCCGTAAGACGGAGCCCTCTTCTGCTGCACCCTCCTGGGGTGCCTGGGCGGGTCAGGCCCCCGCGGGCCAGCCCTCTGGCTTTGATTGCCCAACCCAGTCTCCAGATCGATGCACAGGAACTCAGAAACACACTTTGCTTGCACTTACAGGTTTATTATAAAGGATACCGATAAGGGAAATGCTTACTGGTTTATCATGAAGGAAACAGACACACGGAACAGGTGAACCCAAGAAGGGAGGGAGAGAATCTTGTGGGGTGCGTCTGTGCCTCTCCCAGGGGCCACCCTCCGGTACTTCCTCATGTCCCCCAGCTGTGGAACTGCCAAAGTTCCCTCTTCCAGAATTTGTATAGCTCCGTCTCCACGCCCCTCCCTGGAGATTTAGTGGTTGTTCCCATCCTCAGGTTCCTAGAGACCCCCGTCTAAGTCACCTGATGAGTCTAAATTCAGGTGTGAGGGAGCAGACTAAAATACCCAAGGGCACACCCACGGCTCAATATCGGCCCCAAGAGCAAACAGATCTTCTGTTATGTCCTGAAGGGGAGCACAATGGGGCAGAGGAAGAGGTCAGCAGAGCTCTGACAGAGCCACAGCTGACCCCACGGGAGCCATGGCACCAGAAGGGTCCTTCAGAGTTGGCCCATGTTGGCCCACCACGGCCACATCTTCACCCTCCTGCACCCGTATGGGATGGGTCAGGAAGGGAGCCCACCCAGAGGAAGCAGCTCCCTGTAGGAGACCCGAGGCAGGAGGGGGCTGCCCGCAGCCAGGCCGCATGTCCTTCCTTGAAGAGAGATCGGGAGCCGGACTGCGAGGTCCCCTGGGCATCCCAGGAGGGGGAGCTGGGGTAGTCATCCTCCGACTCTCTTCAGTCGTTGGCTGGGGAAGCCCTTCCCAGCTGCGTCCAGCCTGCAGGAGGAGCTACAGCAACCAGGGAAGGTCCCCGGGGCCAGGGCTGCAGGGAGGTGGACGAAGTTGAGCAGATGGAAGGAAGGTGTGCAGGGACAGAGGACAGGGGACAGCGAGGCTGCACCTGGCCGCCAAACCCTACAGGGAAGGCAGAGCAGATGAATGGAGTGCCCCAGGTCCTGATGCATCAGACACCTGGTCACCGCATTCAACCATAAAGGTGGACCAGAAACCCAACCGCTAAGCCCACGAGAACCTGCAGACATCGAAGGAAGGACCCTCGCAGTCCAGCCCCTTAGATGACGAGGACTCCAAGGCAGGGAATCAGGGCTTTGCTAAGACCCAGGGCAAGAGGAGGGACACTGGGGTCAAGCTCGACCACCTGTCCAGCCAGGTCAGGCAGCAGTGACAGGTGAGAGAAACAGCGTTCAGGTGTTGGGGCAGGAGGAGGAGGAGGTCTTGCAGACCCAGAATTTCTCAGCGTCACACTTGGCGTCGTTCCAGCCGCTGTCAGTGATCTCCGCGCAGTCTTCCTCCCCCACGTTGTTGGGCTCTCCTTCGTTCCAATACGTGAGGCTGCAAATCCATCCACACTGTGAGCCACAGCCCCCCCTGGGACAGTCTCTGCCCCAGGACATCGGATGCCCCCTCTCTCGCATCGGCCCTGCATGCACACGGCTGACATGGCTTGTGGACGCCCAGGGACGTGCCTGGGTCAGGACCTTGACGGACCCTGGTAACCCCAAGCTGAGGGTGGGATTTCCAGTCTGCACCGCACACTGCCCACGCCGTGCTCAGTGGGCCCTGGGCCCCTTACACCTGCCATCGCCACCCGCTGACCAACACCAGAAATGAGGGGTGGCTCTTCCCCAGAACCCACTGAAAAGGTTCCAGGGGGCCGTTCCGAAGCCGCTCGCGCTGCCTCGCAGGTCCTTCCGGGTGGACGCCACGATAGAGGCTCTTGCCGGCAGCCCCTCCCTCCCCATCCTCTGCTCCTGCCCTTGCCCTGGGGGCCCTTCGAGGGGTGAGGTTGGCTGCTTCTCTTGGGCTCTTTGAGGTCTCACAAGCTCTCGTCCCTGATCTGGTGGCCCTCCCAGACCTCAGGCTTCCTACTAGTCCCCTGGTTCTAAGTCACCCACCCAGCCAGGAGCTCCTCCCGCGGCTCTGACGGTGCAGCTTCGGGACCTGCCCTCCCATCTGAACGTGGGCATGAAGACCCCCTTCCTCAACACGAACGACGGACTCTGGGGACCAGGGCAACAGGGAGAGCAGGGGACCCACCAGGATAGCTCAAGATCCCCCGTTTCAGAACCCACCCCACTCTACCGCCAGCCTGTCCCCTCATCTGAGGACCTACCTGGGTGACAGAGGTGACCCATCCACCCAGTGCCATGTGGCTTCCTCGTTCAGGTCTGACAGTCCCATCCAGGTGCTGCCTTTATTCTTAAAAGTCTGCAGCAGGAAGTTCTGAAGGAGGAGAGGAGGAGTCAGGGGAGAGCTCTGCCCCCATTTCCACCTGCTGTCTCTCCAGTCTCTTGACAGGAAGTTCTGCTTGCAGTCTGACCTTCAGCCTTCTAATGTTCCAGGTCCCATCCATGTTCAGGAGGTCTGTGTGGCTCTCATAACTGTACCCTATGGACAGATGTGTCCTGACTTGCACACTGACTGTGCCCAGCGGCCTCTCGTCACACACACTTGGTGACGTGACATGTTTAGCTGGGTGCTGAGTTCTGAGCACTTCCACAGGAAGTTACTCGTGACAGGGTTCAATGTGCGGAACTGGATGGAACCTTCGTGCCCGCCAATCACGCACATGCCCTCTTTCCAGCTCTGCACAGAGTGAGTCCCTGGGACGCTGGAACACGACCACAGGGCGGGGGGCAGGTTTTCACCAGGGAGATGGGCACGGCGCCCCCGAGTACTTGTTATCCCTGAGAGCAGGCGGCTCCCCTGGCCAGCGCACCAGGTCACCCTCTAGGTGTGTCTCCCAAAGCACTCATGCACGTCCAGACTTCCTGTGAGGCTCCCTGCGAGCTGCCTGGCCCCACCGGCCACCCATGCCTTCTCCTCCCTTCCACTGGAGGAAGCAGCCCCTGCTCCTGAAAACCTGTCTGACCAACGTCTCCTCCCAGGTGACCAGTGGCCAGATGCCTGCCCAGACCAGGATGGGGCCCACCATGCACCTGCTCCTCAGCGCTTTTGATGACGACTAGTTGGGCCCTCATTTCCTGGCAGGCGGTGACAGAGTCATTCCAGTTCCGCTGGGACTTGGAGAAGAAGTAACAGTGTCCTCGGAAGAACGTCCAGTCCCAGGGGCAGGGGCGGCACAGGCGGTCTGTTGGGGGAGAGGGTCAGGACCCGTGCAGGGAGGCCATGTTCCCAAGTCTGCCCACCTTCAAGCCCTGGAGTCAGGGCCCTCACATGACCCTGCACCTGGGTGACTGTCCCCTCCCCATTCCCAGATGTCCCTTCCCCCCAGGAGCCCCCAGGAGTCCTGGTGCCATCTCCTCCAGCCTGGGACAAGCAGGGCTCCAGAGTCCGAGAGACTAGCCTGAGTGCCTACTGTGTGCACGGCCATCTGTGAGCACCAAGTGCCACTGTCACTGTTATCCTGTGTTCCCATAAAATAGCCCAGGAAACTGAGGCTCAGAGAGGGCTGGTGACCCAAGCAAAGTGTCACCACATGGAGACCCTCTGGAGCCCTGGGAGCGCGGTGTCTGGTCACTCACCGACTCCTGCCTTCAGCTGGGTCAGCTCCTGGCACACCTTCTGCTTTGACAGCTCCTGCTCCTGTCCCTGGGAGCTGGGGACCCTGGAGACTGTGCCAAGAGAAAAGAAGCCCCAAATGCTGGACCTGCTGGCTTCCATGCACTGCCCTGGCCCCCAGGGACCTGGTGTCTGAGAGCCAAGGCCTTCTTGACCCCAGCTGAAGACGAGGACCCCTGACACCCAGGGAAGGCAGGACCAGCACCCTCCTGTGCTGCTCCCCACCCCCCGCACCAGAGGTGTGGGGGCCGAGCAGAGCCTAGAACCTGCTAAGGGTCGAATCCCAGCGTTCATCCCAGCTCCCTCCTGCCTTGGCCACCCAAGTCCAAGGGCCAGACCACAGAGCTCCAAACCCCAGGGCTGACCTTGGGCAAGGACGGCCACCAGGAGCCCAGCCAAGACCATGAGGGAGAGCAGCTGCAGCAGCAGGAGGGCAGAGCCGGAGCTCAGACACCCTGAGGAGGGAGGGAAGGGGCTCAGCACAGCAGGGTCCCTGCCTCAGCCTGGCCCAGGGACAGCCTGGCCTGGGCCTCGTCCACGGACCTCGGCCTCCACCTTCCCAGGACCCAGGAGCCCAGATTCCAGCCTCCAGGTCTGGGCCTCCGCCTGCCAGGATCCCAGAGCCCGGACACCCGACCTCCTCGTCCCCAGGACGCGGCTGCCCAGGAGCACCTGTCCCTCCTCAGTCCCCCCCTGCTCTACCTGCAGAGCTGCCTGCTCTGGAGGGCGGCTGGAGTGCGTGGTGGCTGAGGGAGCCTCTGGCGCTGCTGGCCGCCGGCTCCTCCTCTGTGTGGGCAGAGCGTCAGTCAGAGCGGGACAGGCTGCCCCCCAGGCTGGTGCCTGTGGCCCCCCAGGCTCCCGGAGTCCCAGCCCAGCCTCACCCAGGGGGTCCAGCTGCTGCACCCGCACTTGCTTGAAGTCACTCATGGTCACTGCTGTCCCTCAGTGCCCAGGACTGCTGGCACCACAGCCTTTATCCCCACCCCTGTAACTCCCTGCCTGTGGCGACTCCCCGTCAGGAAGAAACAGGAAACTGGGTAGGGACTTCGGAAGAAGCGACAGGGAGGGGACCGAACACCTGTCACAGTGCAGCACGTGCCCTGTGTTCCCGGAATTTCAGGGAAGGGCTGCAAGGTTTGGGGTCCCTGGCTGAAAGAACCGGTCCCCTCCTGGTCTGGCCACTCTGGGTGCCGCTAATGAAATGGGTCACTTGTCAAATTAAGCTGCTTGGCCAACCTTCACCCATGTGGTGGTGGTGAGCTAGCCACGCCCCCCTCTTCCCAGAAATGCTGGCCCTGGCCCTGATGTCTCAGTTTGCTGATGTCCCCACTTTGGGTGCTTTCTGCTGACCTGGGACTTGACTGAGTCATCATTGCCTCTGTGTATTTTAAGCCTCCTGTAGACACGAACTTTTCTAATTAGTTATACACGACAGTAGAATGCGTTTTGACACATCATACATAAGTGGAGTGTACCTTCTCGTTCTCTGGTTGTTCATGATATAAAATCACACCAGTCCTGACATCATGTATGCACATACGGCCATAATATCTGATTCATTCCACTGTCCTTCCCACTCCCATAGCCCCTCCCCTCTTACCACCCCCCACCCCCCGTCTAATCCAAAGTACCTCTATTCTTCTGTAGCCCCCACCCCCAATTGTGAATTAGGATCCGCAAGTCAGAGAAAACATTCAGCTTTGGTTTTTGGGGGACTGGCTTATTTCACTTAGCATGATATTCTCCGGTACCTGGTCAATGCCATAGTTTCATTCTTCTTTAAAGCTGAGTAATATTCCTTTGTGTATCTATACCACATTTTCTTTATTCATTCATCTATTGAAGGGAATCTAGGTTTGTCCCACTGTTTAGCTATTGTGAATTGAGCTGCTCTAAACATTGATGTGGCTGCATCACTGATGATTTTAAGTCCTTTGGGTATAAGCCTAGGAATGGGATACCTAGGTCAAATGGTGGTCCATGCCAAGTTTTCTGAAGAATCTCCACACCACTTTCCATAGTTTGCAGTCCCACCAGCAATGTATGAGTGTACCTTTTCCCCCACATCCTAACAACATTTATTGCTGCTTGTGTTCTTGACGATTGCCTTTCTGATTGGAGTCAGAGGAAGTCTTAGTGTAGTTTTGATTTGCAAGTCTCTGATTGCTAGAGATGGTGACCATTTTTTCGTATATTTGTTGATTGATTGTATTTCTTCTTCTGTGAAGTGTCATTCAGGGACTTTTCTAACTATTTTACATACTCGTTCATTTAACCTCTCCACCCCATAGTAGATGGTCTGCTGTCTGTTATACAGATGTGAGAAACTGAAGCCCTGCAAAGTTGGGCTACGGGGCCACAGTCACAAAGCTGGTTTTTGGTGAAGCTGGAATACGAACCCAGAGAGTCTGCCCTCACACTCTCCCCTGTAAATCAAGGAGAGTTAAATAGTCCCAAGGAAGAAAACCAAGTCTCCCGGAAACTTTATTCAGAATTATTCCAAGCTGAAAAACCCAAGCTGTCACCAGTAGATAAATGGGGAAAAAAAAGTATATTCACAGAATGGAATACTATACGGCAATTTAAAAAGCAGTCTACTGAGTTGGAACACATATGAACCTCTTAAAAAAGTGAAAGAGCCAAAACATGAAGTGTATTACTGTAAGATTTTGTTTTCTATGGATTTCAATAACAGGTAGAAATAATCTTTAAAAAAATTTTTTTAGTTATCAATGGACCTTTATTTTACTTTATTTGTTTAAATTTATATGTGGGGCTGAGAATCAAACCCAGCACCTCGCACATGCTAGGCAATCACTCCACCACTGAGCCACAACCGCAGCCTCTAGAAATAAGCTTTGATGAGATGATGGGGTGACCAGGAGGGCTGAGTGGAGATTGACCAGAGGGGGTGTAAGAAAGTGCTAGAAATGTTCTCTGTTTGGATCTGAGAGGCGGCCACATGGGTGACCTGCATACTGAAGGCTTGAGCATCGCGTTGTGTGCTTTATATCTCAGTCTGAAGATGGCAGATACGTGTGTGCCTCATGACCAAGAGCAAGGGTTTCTTCTTCTCTTCTTTATTGTTTAATAAATGGTTAAACTCACATTTATTTTTAAATAAACGATTAAGCAGATTTGGATTTGTGGCTGAGGTTTCCAGTCCTCATTTCATCAGGTTCCCCTGAGGCTGACCTTCCCCGCAGCAAGAAGTGACCACCGCAGCAACTCGCCCACATGGGCTGCTGAGTTAGTCCAAGCGCAGAGGAAGCCACACCCGTCACGGGTGGCACTATTTCCCCTACCCTTCCTCCTCTGCTCCCGGGTCCCATCAAGGAAGCCACGTTGTGAGCTTTCACGGCTGACGGTTTCTCTGGCTTTGATTTTGATTCCCTTGATCATTTGAGGACTGCAGTTGGGTACCTTGCAGAACGCTCTTGATTTGTCGGTGTCTGGTATTTGGGGTGGGTGAAGTGCCGCTCTGAACACCTCTGCAGTTCAGGGTGAGGCATCCATATGGCCTGCAGATGAGGAGGTGAAGCTTGGTGATTCGGCTCAGGTGAGGTGTGCCATGTTTCTTCACCATTACCTCATGCTCAGCTCATCATTCTTGACACTTTTATAAGCAGCACGAGAAAACTGACTACTGCACAAACCATGTAGAGCAGAAAATCCACCTCAGAATCTCAATGCATTGAATGCGAGCATTCAGTAAAACTCAAAACTGATTCATGGGTTATATTTTTATTCAATTTATTTTTATTTAAAAAAAAATAGTCGATTAGAAATGCAATGAAATGCCCAGTAGCTTGGGAGGCTGAGGCAGAAGGATTGCAAGTTCAAACTCAGCAACTTAGTGAGGCTCAACAAGATCTCTCTCTAAATAAAATATTAAAAGGGCTAGAAATGTGGCCCAGTGGTTCAGTGCCCCTGGGTTCCATTCCTGGAAGAAGGAAGGAAGGAAGGAAGGAAGGAAGGAAGGAAGGAGAGAGAGAGAGAGAGAGAGAGAGAGAGAGAGAGAGAGAAGAGAAGAGAAGAGAAGAGAAGAGAAGAGAAGAGAAGAGAAGAGAAGGGAAGGAAAGGAGAGGAAGAAGGAAAGAAATGGCCCTTAATGTGATAGCGGTGTCCATCAAGAACCCACAGCCAACCTCTTCCTACTGGAGAAACTTTAAAAACCATTTCCACTGATGTTGAAAAGAAAAATGAAGTGAAACCCGAAAGACTAGAAGAAAATGCTTGCAAATCATGTATCATACTGATTTCATACCCAGAATGTGTGCACAACTCCTAAAGCCCAAGAAGAAGAAAATAACACAGCACACTAGTTTTTAAATGAGAAAAAGTACAACTGAAGAACAGAAAAATAAGTAGCTCAAATAAGAGACAAAGGACTTGAGTACACTTGTCTCCAAAGAAGATATGCAAACAGCCAGTGGGGACATGAAAAGGTGTTCAACATGGGATCATCATCAGGGAAATGTGCATCAAAATCACAACGAGGGCTGGGGTTGTGGCTCAGGGATAGAGCACTTGCCTGGCATGCATGAGGCGCTGGGTCTGATCCCCAGCATCACATAAAAAAACTAAATAAACAAAGGAAAGTTATTGTGTCCATCTACAGCTAAAAATATTTTTTTAAAAAATCACAATGAGACATCATCTTGTACTTACAGGATGATAGCTATAAAAATAACAAAATTACAAATTTTGGAAGAATGTGGAGAAATTTGATCCTTTGTAGAGTGTTAGTGGGGAAGTAAAATGGTGGAAAACATATGTCAGTTTCTCAAGAAATTACAAATACAATTACCACATAATCCAGCAATCACAATTCTGTGCATATAGCTAATAAGACAACAGCAAATATTCAAAAATATTTTTGTATACCCATGTCGTTGGCAGCATTATTCACAAGAACCAAAATATGGAAGCAACCAGTGTCTGTCAACGGATATGTAGAATCATTAATGTGGGATGCAGCTAAGGTAGTGATGAGAGGGAAATTCATAGCACTAAAATGCTTTTATACTAGGCCTGAATCAACAGGACTAAAAAACAAAATGGAACCACTCAGACTAAAGTTTCTTCTCATGAAGCTGAAATTCAGCTGTTTATCTAATGCCAAGAAGTCAATATCAGGAAGATAAAGTCCAGGGGCTGGGGTTGTGGTTCAGTGGTAGAGCACTCGCCTAGCATGTGTGAGGCACTGGGTTCGATCCTCAGCACCACATAAACAAAATAAAGGTATCGTGTCCATCTACAACTAAAAAAGAGATCTTAAAAAAAAAAGAAAGAAAGATAAAGTCCAAATTTTTTAAATGGGCTAGTTTCAATCGTTATGATATGGAAGTTCCCTCTGCTTTAATGCTTACACAAAAATGGGCACCTGAAGGAACCTCACATAAACAAATCTTTAGTCCTCTGTTGTCCTCTCTCCCCATCTTAGGAGGAATCTGGCTGGAAATGAGCAAGGCACTCTGTGTTGTTTGTGTCTGCTCCCCTCCCGCCCCTCTCTGTCCTTAGAACCAACCCATGTAGCTTCTGCCATCAGAACACCATCTATACTTCATGGACTTGAGAGTTGCAGGTTTCTAGAATCGACATGAAGCTAACCAAATCTCTAAATCAAACTGCCTGGTTTTATCCTTGATAGAGGAAAGATCTCAAGCCCTTAGTTTAAATTTCTTCCTCAAGAAACTTAAAATATCATGGGAAAGTCAAACCAAAAGCAAGCCGGAGGGTGGGCTAGAGTGGTAGAGAGCTTGCCCAGCGTGTGTGGGGCACGGGGTTCGAGTCTCAGCACCACAGGTTTGTGAGAATCTGAAACTTGTTTTTACCGGGCAATATTTTTACTCGGGGGGGAAGAACCGAGGGTCTGGGTCAGAGTTCAGTGCTTCTCTCTTTCCCTTTGGGGTCCCATTGTACTGTCACTGGGAAAGGGTTTATTGGGGGAAGAATCAGTCCTTTGGTTTCCTCCCAGAGACCTTCATTCTAGGCTGCATGGATACCTCCTTCCCGGGGATGGTCTGGTCCCTGGATGGTGTTTTCCTCCTTCCCAGGGATTGGCCTGTCACTAGGAAAGGCTGTAATGGGAAAGGAGCGATGGTATCCATGTGCTGCCCCCTCTTGCTCGCTCCCTCCTCCCAGGCCACACTACACGGGGGTTTGTCAATTTCCATGTCTTACAGTGACAGCAGGGACGGCCTCCAGGGGAGGCTGGCTGGAGCTCCGGGAGTTGGAGTCCTTAAGGAAATTGGGTCCCCTGTTTTTGCCTCAATCTCCTGCCCCCTTGATCATTCATTACCCTCGGAATAGCCCTCAGCAAGCTCTCTTTGATGTTTTGGTTGCCAGGGTGATTGGGGGTGGTGGCAGTTGAGGCGACAAGGGAGGGTCCAGGCCACCTGGTGGAGTGTGATAGGATCTTGGAACAATAGTTTTTCTCACCGGGGATGTTTTATGAGTTTTATGAGTTGTCCCTCCCTGCCGGCCCATTCATGGCTGAGTAGCTGCCTGACAGCAGAAGGGAAAAGAAGCTTGGGGGATTTTTTGATGCCAAGCAAATCTCCCTGCTTATATTAGGTACCTGGAGCTGTCCTCAGGTCCTGTGAGTTGGAGGACTCAGTCCCAACAGGCTAATCTGGTTCAGAAGGCAGGAACAAGGGGTGCTCAGCAATGGGGGATTCCCAAAATCCCCTCTCAGACTCAGTAATTTCACACCAGAGTCACAGAACTCGGAACTCATTCTGCTGCTATGTGTTCATCTATTACAAAAGGCCAAACTCCCGGACACACAAACGAGAGAGTCACGGACCAGGGACGAGAGGAAGGAGTTACCAGAGCTCCCAGGTCTTCTCCAGCTCCCCCGGGTCGCCAGCCTGGGACTTGCCCATTCTTGTTCAAGAGTTTTTATGGAGGTCGATCTCCAACCTGCCCTAAGCCTGGAGGTTGGCGGGGAAAAGGGGACTGGCATTTTTCACCTTCAAATCGACTGTTTGTTCTTTCTGGTGACCAGCCCCAAGCCCTACTCTAGTTCACCTTATTGGCCTGAGTCCAATGTGGTCAAAACCCAAAGACCAAATAGCTTTTCTTATGATGCCACAGGAATGGAATGGGCATGGTCAGAGGGAAATGACCAGCAGAGGAGGTCTGGCAGGGCCACAGCTGACCACATGGGGAGCTCCGGAGCCTGAATGGCCTTTCAGTAGGTCCCCATGTTGGCCCAACATGGCCAGATTGTCCTTGTCCTACAACCCCGTGAGCTGTACCAGGAGGAGGGAGGCAAACCTTGGAGAAGGCAACTCCCTGTGGGAGAGTCCAGACAGGAAGGGGCTGACGAACAGAGGGTCCAGAGGTCCATCTTCAGAATATAGTATTTAGCCTTACCTGGGGACATAAGATGCAATGGTAGCCATTTTAACATAGCCCTGCCCTTCGTCCACCCCAATTTTAAAACTGGCCAATCCTGTAGATTACGATCCTGAGCTCCTCCTATCAGAGCTAGGAGCGGAGCTTCATTGTGGATAAAAACAGGTGGACGGCCCACCCAAGCAGGCTTGCTGGCTGGACTTTGTCAGAAGCACTTCATCAGTAGCAGGTGCTTCTGCAGAAGCAAAGTTTGCCTTGCGTCCAAGCACCTGTTTGATTCCTCAGTCCTCGGGTACTTCTAACACGGGGGCCGCACCTGCTGAGACTCATTGATTGACAGGGAGAATGAGTCCCCAGGTGCTTCCAGCCTGCAAGAGGAGCTACAGCAGTAAAGGAAGGTGCCGGGCAGATGGGTACAGGGGAGCCGGGTGGAAGTAGAGTGATGAAGGGAACCACTCAGAGCCCCAGGGGACATGGCGGCACCTACACATGGCCATGCACACCCTCTGGTCTCAGCAAGGAAGGCGGTGCATTAATGGACACAGCCAGCCCCTGAGTGCATCTCCCACCTGTCACTCTATTAAACTGGACCAGGGCCACTTCTTTGGGAGTCGTCTTTGGCAGATATTGTCACTTTCTCCTTCCACAAAGGGTTTCCCCTCCCTGATCCGTTCGTAAGCATCAGGCCTCCTCCCCTTGGTCCTGCGTTCTAACTTCTAAAGGAAAGCAACCCCCACCCAGCTGAGTGGTCATAATGTTCATTGCTGGGGAAATCTTGCTTTCCGTTTACAGAACCCCAAACACCCGGCGAGCTTTGTGATGTCAGTGCTTAGTCTTTTATTTCTATGCATCAACTAACACAAATCAGGTAAATGTCTTCAACTTGCAGAAAAGGAATACGTACATTTCAATAAAAGAAACACCCCGAGAGGTTGAGGTTTATTGCCATGTCCAGCCAGAGGAGAAAATGGAGACCCCCCACCCCCGACCGCCAGGTGATGGAAACTCCGTTCAGCATGCACCCTTCCTGCCCGCCGTCTCAAGGTCCCTCTTTTCCCTCCTATAAAAGCTCTTGTGCTCCCCAGGTTAGTGCTTTGAGGACAGTGGCCCCCTCCCTCTTCCAAGGTGCCAGATGAGGAGTAAACCTGATTCCTTCCTATCAACCCTCATCTCCAGGATATTCGCTCTTGAGCAGCCAGCAGCTGCTACGTTAGAACAGAAAATAGATTCTCAACCACAACCTCAAAGCCAAGGGGAACCCAGAGGCAAAGGAGGAAGCAGCACCATGTACAGTCAGTCCCCTGGGAGAGGAGGAATGTGACAGAAGAGCCTCAGAGTCTTGCTCAGCTCTCGATGCCCACAGGCCTGCGGAGGAACTCGCGGGATCAGGAGGGTGGACGGGGCCGTGGTGGAGCCTGGGGAGAGACCCGCCTTCACTTGTGGGAACAGGAGCCTGCAGACTTCTTGCAGATCCAGGATTTCTCAAGGTCACATCTGCTGTCATTCCAGCCATCCCCTCTGAACTCCACGCAGTCTTCCTCCCCGTGATTGTTGGGCTCCCCTTCGTTCCAAAACTTCATGAATCTGCAAGCCAGACGAGCGTGACCTCCGCCCCAGCCCCACTCGAGGAGCCCCGTTCCTGCTCCGGGACATTGGACGCTCTCCCCGCTTCCCTTCAGGCCTACGGCAGATAGATGAGTCTAGTTCTGGACCCCAAGGCCCCTTGTCCCCCATGCTTGAGGATGAGAACCAACCAACCAGCCGAGACTCCACATCCCAACCGCCTCCCTTACTGTGCTCTTGAACTCTGGGCCTCTGTACACCTCCCCCGGGCCTGGTACAATACACCCAGGGACAACATCTACACCCCAGAGCCCACTGGTGATCTGAACCAGCCACCACCAAGCCTGCTTAGCCTAGCTTGCCTGTTTCTTCCCGTGAACACCACAATGACTGTTCCTTCCCACAGTGTCTCACTCTTTGTCTCCTGGCAGACCTTGGCACACTCTTGGGTAATTCCCCGGGGCAGGCTGTGTGTGCCCTCACTTGGGATCTGAGCGTAACAAGTCACCCTTCCAGTGACAAGAGCCCCAGACTGGCTGGTCTTACGAAGCCTCAGGCTTTCTACTCAGACACTTTACTGTAAATCACCAACCCTGGCTGCAGACTTCTTGCAGATCCAGAGCCTCCTACATCTCTGACAGGGGGGTTTACGAGGCCGCCCTCCCACCTTAAAGTGGGTCTCAAGACCCCTCCCTTGTCTCAGTAAATGCCACACTCTTAGGCCTAGAGGGCAGCGTGGGGGAGCTCAGGGCAGAGTTTGGGAAACCCAGCCCTCTCTCTGGGGAATGCCCTTCTCCAGGACCTACCTGAAAAACAGAGGCGACCCATCCACCCAGAGCCACGTGCCTTCCTCGTTCAGGTCTGACAGTCCCATCCAAGTGCTGCCTTTATTCTTAGAAGTCAACTGCAAGAAGTTCTGGAGGGGAGAGGAGGAGTCAGGAGGGAGCTCAGACCCCCAAGTTCCAGCGAGTGTCTCACCAATGTCTTGACGGCAAGTTCTGCTTGCAGTCTGACCTTCAGCCTTCTCGTGCACCAGCCAGCCCCCAGGTGTGCTCAGGAGGTCTGAGTCCCTCCCACATGTGTGCGCTACGGACAGGTGTATTTGGACTTGTGCACACGATGCACAGAGCCGCCTCACATGGCACACACTTGGCAACACCTCATGTTCACCGTCCTGTGAGTTCTGAGCATGATTCCCAGGAATTTACCCCCGCCCGGCCTCCATGCAGGACATGGTCTGTATCGAGTGGTGCCCAGCTCGATCCAAAAGTAACAGTGGAAAATTCACGCCAGGGAAAATGGCAAAGGGACCAGGTTGCTAAACACCAGCTAGCACGACACCAGGGACCACTCACAATTTAGGTGACCCCCAAAGCGTTCAGCCACTTCCGGAACTGTGTGTGTCTCCTATGTAAGGTCTTAGAACCCTCTCATTCAGAGTCTCCTCCTCCTCCCCCTAAATGGTCCCGAAAATGTGTCCTAACCAACCACCTCCTCCCAGGTGGCCAGTGACCAGATGCATGCCCAGGCCAGAACAGGGACCCCCACCAGACACACCTGCTCCTCAGCACTTTTGATGATGACTAGTTGGGCTCCCACTTCCTGGCAGGCGGTGACAGAGTCATTCCAGTTCCGCTGGGACTTGGAAAAGAAGTAACAGTGTCCTCGGAAGAACGTCCAGTCCCAGGGGCAGGGGCGGCACAGGCGGTCTGTTGGGGGAGAGGGTCAGGACCCGTGCTGGGAGGCCAAGCTCCTGTGTCTGCCCCGCCTTCCAGCCCTGAGAGTTGGGGGCTCCTTCCACTGCATCTGATGGCTGTTCCCTCCCCTCTCCCTGGACCTCTCCCCCTCCAGGAGAACCCAGGAGTCCTGGCAAGGTCTCCTCCAGACTGGGAGAAGTAGGGGCTTCAGCACTCAGACAGAGACCAGGAGACTGGCTTCACTGGGTGCCCACTGTGCGCCTGGCCTACTGTGGGCAGCGAGGGATGTTGTCACCTTCCCGTTTGTTTCCATTTCTTGGTTGAGGAAACTGAGGCTCAGAATTGGCCCTTGACTCAGGCTGCGCCACCCAGACCCTCTGAAGCCTGGGGACCCTGTTCTCCTGTCACTCACCCAGTTCAGCCTCCGCCTGGGTTAGCTCTTGGTAGATGTCCTCCTGCTTCGATCTCTTCTGCTCATAGAAGTGGGAGAGCTTGGAGACTGGGCCAAAAGAGAGAGAGAGAGAAAAACTGCACTTATTGAATACCTACTGTGTGTCATGGCCTGCACTGGGTTCCCAGGGACACAGTTTCTGAGGGACAACATCTCGTTCAATCCCATTTGAAGATGAAGAACCCTGACACCCAGAGAAGGCTGAACCTCAAGGGGAAGTGGAACCAGGACCCTCCCCCTCTAGCTCCCCGTTCCTCCTCGGCCCTCAGAAGTGCCGAGAAGCCGCTGAGAGACCCCGTCCCGGCTTTCAGCCCACCTCCCTCCCACACCCAGCTGCCCCAGCCCTTGGGCCTTCCCTGACCTTTGACAAGGACGGCCATCAGGATCCCGGCCAGGAGCATGAGGCACAGCAGCTTCGGCACCAGGGGGATGTGGCCACGGCCCAGAAACCCTGCCAGAGAGAAGGATGGGTGGCCCGGAAAGCCAGCGTCCCTGCCTCAGCCTGGCCCAGTACAGCCTGGCCCCAAACCCCTCTTTCCCAGGGCACAAGATTCCAGTCCCATGACTTCCAGCTGTCCACAGCCCAGAGGTCCCCAGCCTCCAATTCCCCAGGACCGAGGAGTCCAGTTCCCAGATTCCTCCCCCCTAGAACCCAGGAATCCAGACCTTCAACCTTCACCTCCACAGGACCCTGTAGTCTGCTCCCCCAGACTCAAGGACCCCAAAACTCTGGTGTCCAGGTTTCCAGCCTCAGTCTTCCCAAGACACAGGGGTTAAGACCGTCAGCCTTCACCGAGAATCAAGTCTTCAACGTCCACTCTCACTACCCAGGAGTCCACTCAGGAGCCTAGTCCTCAGCCTCAACCTCCCCAGGACCCAGGACCCTGGTCCCCATTCTGCACTGCCAAGATCCTGCAGTCCAGTCCCCAGTCTCCACGACCTTAGGACCAGAAACCAGACCCTCAGCCTCTGTTTCCACAAAACCCGAATATCCAGTCCATTTCCACCTCTCCAGAACCCAAGAATGCACTCAGCCTCTACCTTCACCAGACCAGTGGGGTCCTGTCCTCTATATCCACCTCCTCGAGATCCCAGGGGTTCAGACTCCAGTTTCTATTACCCCAGTATCCAGGAGTCTGTCCCTGGCTTCCACCTCCCCAGTATCAGGGTCCAGTCCTCACCACCAACTGCCCAGGACCTGGTTCTCCAGTCCTTCAGTATCTATCTCCCCAGGACCCAGGGATACAGAGCCACACTCCAGAACCCAGAAGTCCAGACCCCCCCATCTCCTCCTCCCTTGGACACAAAATCCAGGTGGCCAGCCTCCAACTCCCCAGGACACAGACATCTGGGTGGACCTGTCCTGCCCCGCTCTACCTGCAGTGCTCTTGAGGCCGCCCGGGGGTCGGAATCCAAAGCGTTGAAAGGAATACTTGGCGCCGCTGGCTGTCAGCTCTTCCTCGTCTGCATGGGCAGAGCGTCAGCCAGAGCCTGGGCAGCTGAGACCCAAGCTGGCCTCCCATACCCCCTCCCAGCTCCCAGAGGCCCAGCCCAGCCTCACCCAGGGCACCCAGCTGCTGCGCGTCCACATCCTGGAAGTCACTCATGCTCACCGCTGTCTCTCAGTGCCCGGGACTGCTGGGATCTCAGCCTTTATTCCCACCCCCTGTAACTCACTCCCTGAATCGACTGAAGGTCAGGAAGAGAAAGAGGGAACTGGCTAGGGGCACTGGAAGATGCTAAAGGGATGGGCCCCCCATATTCCAGGAATCTCGGGCAGCAGTGGGAGTGGCCCGGTCCCGTAGCTGAAAGGACTGGTCCACTCACGGTGTGGCTTTCAACAGAACCAGGAACTCGCTGCCTCAGCTTGCTGGTGTCCTCACTGAGGGTGCCTCCTGCTGGCTTCGGGGACGGGGCTGAATCATCATGGCTCATTTTCTACTCTGCGCTGCTCAGACCAGGCTCCTTTCTAACTGCTTCCTAGACTCACGAGTCCAGTCTCCCCAGGCTGTGTAGATGGTCTGACCTGCACCTTACAGTTGAGAGACAATGAGGGACAACGTGATCAGGTAACCGACCCCAAGGGCACACACTGGTGAACAGCAGAGCTGGGATTTGAACCCAGAGATTCTGCTTCCAAGTCCACACCATGAACCAAAGAGGGTCACATAGTCTCAAGGAGGAAACCAAAAGATGCCTAGAAGCTTTATTCAAAATAGTCCCAAATGGGACCAAAAAAGAAGGAGGCCACCAGCAGGTGAATAAAAAAAAAAAATCCTGGGGCTAGGGCTGTGGCTCAGTGGTAGAGCGCTTGCCTAGCATGTGTGATGCCCTGGGTTTGATCCTCAGCACTGCATATTAATAAATAAAATAAAGGTCTATCGACATCTAAAAATATATTTTTAAAAATCCTGCCATTCAATGAGTGGAATGCTATACAGCAACTGAAAAGCAACCTGCTGATCCAGGCAACAAATACATGAATGTCAAAAAAGAGCAAAAGTATTCAGACATAAAGCGTATGTACTCTGAGGTTCGATTTTATATGGATTTCAAGAACAGGTAGGACTGACATTTGATGTGGACTCAAAATGGAGTTTACTTATAAGGGGTGAGTGGGGATTGGCCAGGAGGAACACCAAGAAGTCCCTGTGAGCTGGAGATGTACCACATTTTTATGTGAGAGGTGTTTTCAGAGGTGTATTCCTACATAAAATGCTAGAGCTAGAAATATAAGACTTTGTGTGTCATGTTCTGATTAGAAAATAGGAAATGCATGCATCACGATCAAATAGTGAGGATTTTGACCTTCTATTCACTTTGTTTTTATTTGGGCTTTATTCTTCATTTTAGAGTAATTTCAGATTTGTGGTCATATTGCAAAAACAGAGCAGAGGCTTCCCACAGTCCTCTCATCAAGTTTCCCCTAGCGTTGATCTTCTACTTAAGAGAACATGTTAGAAATAGTGAATGTGCCCAGGTCAATTTCTTATTTATGACATACACAGTGACCTTCGTGGGTTTTCTAAATTTCACTATCTGGTCCCTAATGTCCTTTTCTGCTCCCAAATCCCACCCAGGATGCCACCTTGTGTCTAGACAGTCACATCTCATCTCGGGATTCTCTGTGCCGGGACAATCTCACTGATCCCTTGTTTTCGATGACTGTGAGCATTTGGAAGACCACAGGTCGGGCATTTGTGTTCTGTCCCTCAATTTGGCTCATCTGATATTTTCCCCTGAGGTCGTGGATTATTTGGTGGAAGACCCTAGAGAGGAAAGCTGTTCCCATCACATCCTCCAATTCAGGGCGCAGGCTTCAGTGCAATTCTCCCTGATGGGATGAAGCTGGGTGACTCGGCACGTGCACCATGATGGAGTACACCTCTTCCACAGGTACATGAACAGCATGAGAAAACTGGTTTATATATCCCATAAACTAAAGCAGAAGATCCTCCTGAGTGTTTCACCACATTGCACAAAAGCGTTCAGCAAAACGTACCATCGATTGGCTATTCACCTTTAAAACACTGTTCGTCAACCAGAAGTAGAAGGAGATGTGCTTACATGATAGCAGTGTCCATCAGGAATCTGAGCACACTCCTTCCTGTTGGAGAAAGGTCAGAAGCACTCCAAGTGGCACAGGAAAAAAGAGTGACAAGAAAATCCACAGGTCTAGAGAAAATACTTGCAAATCACAGGTGAAGGTGAAGGTCTTGCATCCAAAGTGCACTTGTAACTCTTAAAACCCAACTAAGGAAAATAAGACAGCTGGTTTTAAAATGGAGAAAAGCTCAAATCAAGAACAGAAAAGCTGGGCTGGGGATGTGGCTCAAGTGGTAGCGCGCTCGCCTGGCATGCGTGCGGCCTGGGTTCGATCCTCAAGCACCACATACAAACAAAGATGTTGTGTCCACCGAAAACTAAAATAAATAAATAAATATTAAAATTTAAAAAAAAAGAACAGAAAAGCCAATAACTCAAATAAAAAATAGGCAGAGGATTGAATAACACATCTCTAAAGACGCACAAAGGGTTAATAAGCACACACGAGCTTTACATCATGCATCTTTAGGGAAATGCCAATCAAAACCATGCTGAGATATCACCTTGAAGTTGTTGGGTGACTGCTATAAAAAATAACAAAATGCCAGGCATGGCTGTAGTCCCAGCGACTTGGGAGGCTGAGGCAGGAGGGTCGCATGTTCAAGACCAGCCTCGGTGATTTAGTGAGGTCCTCAGCAACTTAGCAAAACCCCATCTCAAAACATATAAGGCACCAGGGATGTGGCTCAGTAGTAAAAAACTACTAGGTTCAATCCCCAGTATCTCCCCAAAACTAAATGAAATGACAAGTGTCGGCCCATTCAGGGAGAAATGAAAACCCTTGCACACTGTTGGTGGGGATGTAAAATGGCACAGCTACAGTGGAAAACATACGTCAGTTCCTCAGAATATTACAAATACAACTAGCATATAACCCAGCAATCCTGATTCTGTGCATATACCTGGAAAAATTGAGAGCAAGGATTCACAAAGATATTTGCATGACCAATTCATTGCAGCATTACATGCAATAGCCAAAGAGTGCAAGCTACCCAGTGTCCTTCAGGGAGAAATGGATACACTTCGTGCACCATACAGCGGGATGTTAGTCAGCCTTGAACGAGGAAGGAAATTCCCACACATGCCACACTATGGACGATCCTCGAGGACGTTATTCTAAGCAAAGTAATCCAGTCGCAAAAGGACAGATACAGAATGGTTCTGCTCTTAGCTGATCCCTAGAATGTCACCTCTACAGAGATGGGAAATAGAACCGTGGCTTTAGGGGCTGAAGGAAGGACAACCAGGGAGCTGTTGTTCAAAGGTTCAGAGTTTCAATTTTGAGAAACAAAGAGCTCTGTGGATGAGTGCCGAGTGGTGGCTGTGCAGCCCTGGGAATGGGCTTGGTGTCCCCAAACAGCAGACTTAGAAATGTCCTTAGACGGTACAGTCTCTGCTCTGCGTATTTTGCCACAATTGAAATAACACTTTTTAAATTTTTTTAGTTGTAAATGGACACAATACCTTTATTTTATTCATTTATTTTCAAGTGGTGCTGAGGATGGAACCCAGTGCCTCCCACATGCTAGGCAAGCGCTCTACCACTGAGCTACAGCCCCAGTGTAAAAAAAAAAAAAAAAAAAAAAAAACATTTTTAAAGGGCAAAAGATCTGAACAGACACTTTACCAAAGGAAAGAGCGCATAGAATGTCCTCATCCGTTGGGTTTTAATACCCCACTGGGGAGAGACGCCTGAATGTACAGCCGCTACTGTTGGGGTGGCAAGGTGACAGTGATCTCTCCCCACATACACTCCATACCTGCCTGGCACAGGCGGCAGGATGGTGTCCACCATGCAGACCACAGGAGGATGCATCTGGAAACAGTGAGCCACCACAGGGTGGGGAGTCCGACTCCGTGGTGACAAACAGCATGCTGGGACCCACAGGGACAGGATTGGCTGGGCTGAATGGCTGCAGATGGCAGGGAACTAAAACTCACCACTGGAGGGGGAACAGAAACCAGGCCTTGCCTTCCAATAGGCGTCACTTGGCCAGGGGACATGATGGCAGAAGCTGCAGGGTGAGGGAACCTGTGGGCCGGCCATCCCAGGGCCTCCTGCTTGGCCCCAGATGTCAAGGCACATTACACAGGGCCTAGTGTCAGGTCTTACACCCCAACTGACCCTTCGTTACATGACATCGATTTCCACCTTGGAGATGACTAAGACTTTTAGGGAGTAGGAGAAATACCCCGCAGGAAAAGAAACCCATACGTGTGTTTTGTATGTAGAGAACCACAAACAACCCAAAGCATCACACACACACACACACACACACACACACAACCACCCAACTACAGACTATAGTTTTCTCAGTGCCCATGGAACATTCACCAAGGGAGACCCTCTCCAGGGACATAAAACACTTAAATGAATTAAAATCATTTTAAAACCATTATATTCAGGTTCTTAGATACACAGGACCATAAGGTGTGTGTATGATTATAAGAGGGGACTTATTAGCCGGGCTTACACAGTCCGAGGCTGGATGTCCCACCATGGCCCTCTGCACGCTGGACAGCTGAAGGAAGGAACTTCTCAGTCTGAGAAGCTGGAGCCTCAGAACCAGAGGGATCAGTGAGGTTGTCCCAGGCTGAGACCGAAAGCCTGGACACTCCCCGGAGAGCCACTGAAGAGCGCCCACCCTGGGAGAGGGAAGGAGTCAACTCCAGTGTCCACGGGTGACAGCAGCAGCCCTTGCTCAAGCAGAATGAGACTCCCATCCATGCGACCTCCTCCTGCTTCCAGCCCAGGTTCCATCGGGGCCCCAGCCTCTGGACAGTGCTGTCCATCGGGTCTCCACTAGTGTGCCGTCCTGTCGCGTTCCTCACTACTAAAACACTCAGGGTCCCTCCAGGGGAACTGGGTGTGCAAAATAACCACACAAGAGACAGAGGGACCTTTTTCTTTGGGGTCCTGTGATGGCTCCTCTGACATTAAGGGTCTGCAGAAAGAGAGAGCGAGCGAGCACATGCTGAACACTTGTATTGAGGAGAAGCCATTCAAATGAGGCCGAGATCAGGTTTCAGGGGGCTGAGTCTAGCTTCCTGATGTCTGCTGTCAGCAGGTTGACTGACATCTAGGAAGGCTACCCCCAAAGGCAGAGAAAGAAAAGGGGACCCACAAAGGGAGTTTCTATGGAACATTCTATCCCAAACAGGGCAAGGGGGTAACATCACAAAGGAACAGGTGGGTGT